TTGGTTTATGTTAGCATATACTTAAGTCTGAAATTTGATTTCCTCATGAAATTCCTTTTTATTTTTTTTCTTTAGAAAAGACTTCCTAAAATAATCAGATTGTTAGTTCTCATATTATCTGACACTGTATCCCAAATAAGAAGTTGTTTGGACTACAAATCTACTGTGCTATGAGAAGGAACGGATATCCAAGATTCCATAATTAAAATAAATTTTAAAATTAAGTAAATACTATGCTTTTTGAAACAGCTGTAAATTATCTTTAAATTAATATAATTTAAAAAGCATTTTTTGTTCATTTTCACTCRCTGTCTTCCCGAGGGTTAGTTCTGTCCTTTAGCAGATTGTTTTGGAAAGCATCATGCTGCATGAACCAAGGAAGGGTAGATGATACATAGCTGTTCAAAAAGCTTATATGAGCTGAGTATATTTGAAGTAAATATACATTGAAAGCCACTTACACACGGGATGTTTAAGCAGTTTTTCTATTACAATTTTAACAGTGGTATGGTTTAATTTACATAATAACTGTGTGGTTGTCCTCGTTACGTCCTTCAGTGAAACAGAAGCTTTATGTACTTCTGTTTGGAGTCTGCGTGCTTGATGCTTTCCAGCACTATATGTACTGTATGTATATATTTGTGCATGTTTATATCTTACAACATCTCTTCTGTCCTTTCTTTCTTCTGCAAGTGAAAAGAGTAAATACGCACTGCAAAACATGATAAAATAGAGTAGGGCTCTGTGGAGAATGTAGCTTGATTACTGCTGCTTGCACTTCTTGATAAAATAAGCAAGTGACGCTGTTTGTAACTAGCAGTGAAGATATTAATAAAACAGTAAATTTGGTGAGCTACCTGCGTAGCACAGTGTAATTAATAGCACACTGAAGCTCTAAGGCGCATAGGTGGCTCCTGTATATTGATTTCAGAAGTATTTTTAAGGGTAAGTGGAGCTCTGAGCATCTGTGGGTATCTCAAGCTTAGCAGGGTTCAAGGAAAGCTTGGACGTTGATATTGGGGAAAAAAAGGCATTAGGAGTGGGAAAAGAAGACAAAATAGAGTGTTTTATCTAGGCTGTTACTAATAGCATTTATTGCATATCTTTTAATAGTTTCAACTTTCTTTGAAACAACTGGTATTACGTAATGTAGGAGACAGAATCATGTTTTGTTTTATTTGGTTTCATTTTGGGGGCGAGGCGAGTCAGTGTAGACCGTTTTTATTTTGAATTCTGTGATTTTGGGAGGTGTTTTTAAGCCTCCTGTTGTTCTCTCCTGCATACCTCAAACCTGCCAGCAGATGTGGAGACAGGGCTTTTGGGGTGGGTTTGGTTTTCTTCCCTCAGTGTATTTCCAGTAAACGATGGCAAAGTTGGACACCTGGCACTTCTGCAAACAGGATGATTTAAAACATTCTGGCATCTGTTTCATGCAGAAATGGAGTAAATGCCACTAAAYAATGACAGCAAAAGGTTCTCCATCAGTTCTAATGCCAACAAGTAAACAGAAATATGTGCAGATCTACTACCAGCACCGAGAGAGCTGGAGCTGCCGCTTGCTGCTTGCTGTAACCCCGGTGCCTGTGAATCCTCCCCGGTGGCGGTCGAACAAGCGGGCGCTGAGGGCGGCCCGGCTCGCCGGCCTGCGGGGCCTGCAGCTCCCTCGGGCCCTGGCGCCGGGCGGCTGCTCCTCAGGCTCCTCTCTGCCCGTGATCGGCGAGCAGCTGCGAGCACTCCCGCTCACAGTTATCAGYTATGCCTCAAGATACCCAGTTAAGGGTGGTGGGGGGCTGTTTTTGTTTTGTTTTTGTTTTGTCTTGATCTGCGTGCTAGACTGTGCGTAAGAAAATCCAAGGGAAAGCACTGCAGCATTAAGGGGATGATAGGTTTGAGTCGATCACTTAAGCTGCAACTAAGCAATGCAAATCTGGCTCTAAGTGACCTTACTGATGTCTGCTTCAGGCAGCTTCTCCTGGGTGCCAATGAGCGCGCTTTGTTGCGGATGCCGTGCGGGTAACGCACTGCTCCTGTGGAGGTAGCCCTGGCCCTGCCRTCCTTTGCTCTCACGGAGCCGAGCGCCTCGAGCTGCAGGGATGCTCCGCACACTGCCCTTGATGTGCTCTCCGTTTGGAGCAGGGTGGCATGGGCCCTTCCTCCCCACGGCTCCGGCTCCGGCTCCTGCTAAACAACACCCAAGCGGAGAGTTGGCCGCGCGCGCTGGGGTGTGCAGGAGCCTCCGGCTGCCACTGCGCCACTAAGAAGTGCTCTGAGGTCTTCAAGGGTGTTTTGGAGCATTTTTAGCAATAAATGGTTATCAGCTGCTGAGAGGTACTCCAAGGCGGGGGAAAAATGCCAAGATAACAGTTAAGAGCTTAGGATGTTGCAGTCCACTGTTATTTTTGTAAAAGTGCTTCGTGAAATCTGGGTAATTGCCTCAGCTTTTCTTGTAGGAAGTGTTGTGACCTATAGGAAAATGTTAAAGAGAGTGAGGGTGATTATTTGACTTCTGTTGCTTTTAAGTTTGTCTAACGCTTTCTTTGGAGGATGTCAGAAGAGAAAAAAAAATCTTTTCTGTCTTAAAATTCATATCCTATAAATAGGTCCATTTGCAAATTATTCACTGAGGTCCCAAATCTGGGATTATAGAGTTACTAAAATTATCCCAGTAAATGGAATGTAAGATTCAGCATTTACTGAGCCTCATTAATGGCTGTCAGATCAGTCATCTGAACTCTTTTGGGAGATACCGAACAAGTTTAGTAACCTTAATGGAGCTTTATGGGAGATGCAGCTGACACTGTGGGTTTTTTGTTTCGTTGTTTCATTTAGAAAAGAGAGAGGAGGAGAAGGGGGTCAAAAAGCCAGTAGCAAAAGCATGGCCCTTATGAAGAGATGCGGGGAAGAGAAATCTCTGCTCTGGGGGGTTGTTTTTCAAGGAAAGAAAATGACGGGAATTTCTGAACTCTGGATAGAAAGATGGATTCTTTTATTTATTTATTTTTTATTGCATCGTGATTGACTTCATAGTCTAGATAATTTACCCACAGTGATGCTATTTAGAAGTAGTCATTTCTAAAATGAAGCAACTTTTGCACATAGGCTGCAAGTCTGTCCTGAGCACAGCACATTAAGCAGGCTGTAATCGGTCCATTTTGTATTCCAGAGGGTCTGATGTTAAAGCCTATAGAGATTGAGGTCTGTGAATAATACACTACTTAATTGTACCATTAATTTACTGTTAAAATGGTAATATGTATTTACATTTTAAATATTTATGCTCATCAGTGTGTGGTGCRAGTCCACTGCGTAGCACTTAATAGCCAAAATTCTTTCAAAGGTTTAATCTTTGTTATATAACTTTTCAGTATTACAGTTGGGGCTTGCAGATCCCACATGTGAAAGTAATTCAGCCTTGACAGTTGTGGGTGGCTGGCTGGATACTTGAGCATTCCTCACGCTAAGGATTGTATTTGCTTAAATGCCACTTTAACTGGATTAAAACTTCTCTGTGTGTTTTGGTGCTTGGTAACTTCCCAAATTCCCAAATTGTAAATTCCCAGATTTGGAGAATAAAGTTTGTGTAAAATTTTTTGCCTTAAGCTAGCCTGGAAAATTTTGGAACAACTTCTGTTAAAATTTTGGAATGAGTAAAGGTAGATCTCACAAATCACTCCACTTTTCAGGAATAACTTTTGCGGCTGCAATGTTGTAACAAAACCAGACTTAACTACTTATTTATTTATTGGTAGTGATTGCTCTTCTTTGGTGGGGGGGCGGGGAGGGTTAGTATTTTTTTCATAATTACCTGTATTAATTCCAACCATCCACAGGAGCTAGAGTTTAAGACAGATGAACAGCCCTCCTTGGTGTCATACTATCTAAGAGTTTTCACACTACTTATTACCCGGACTCACTTATTAGCTTGGAAATTCTAAGTATTTGGAAAATAGTGTAATAACAGACTAGATAAGCTGTTGGGTTTTTTTTGTTGTTTTTTTTTTTTTTAATTTTTAATTAGGAAAGGAAAGAGAGTGCAAATAAGCTGACACTTAAGCCCCTCCCTTTTCCATCTAAATTTTCAGTAATAGCAGAGCATCTGAGAGTGCAAGATGGGAATTTAGCATCAAAGTAGAGAGGGATGACCTTGAATGGGATGATAGGTACGGCTTGATTGAATCTCCTATGTCACTGTACTATCATTAGCAGAATGCAGACTAAACAACTAGCAGTGTTTCTGGGAAGGCAGTAAAAATCAGAAGATCTGAAAATGTCCAGTTTTAGTTTTATTTCACACAACTTTACAGTATATTTTTGGTCAGTAATTGAGAAAGCGGGGGGAAGTTTCTTTTTTCTAAATATTACATAATATTTATGCAAGCTGCAGAATACAGAAAGAGCAGATAGCTTCAGGGAAGTCATTTTTATTGAGTCAAAATTATTTATAATGTATAAATAATAGTTGTATCCTAATCGGAACACATGTACATGTATCATAATTATGAATTTTGCCTTAAAGCAAATTAATGTGTGGAAAGCCTCTCAAACATTTTTTTTATAAAACAGTCAGTATCCACAGCAGTAGATCATGTTACCATAAATTGTAATTATATGAAATTCATGGCGTTTATTCTTCTAATCTACTCAAAAACCCTAATTAAAATGCCCCCTTAGGAGTGTTTATATGGTTATTTTACTAAGACTTAAGAAGAAGTTTCCTTAAAGAGCTTTTATCGAGCACAATTTAAATGTAACCCTGTTTTTAGAACTTAGGACATGGGTCTTTTTCCCCCTCTGAGATGTTTATTAATCCCAGTTTGTGATAAACAACAGACAACTTGGAATTAACTTAGGAATCTTTTACAAGCCCTACTGCTTTGGTGACTAATGGTACACAGGTATTTTCTGTGGTTAAATCTTGCAAACACTTTTCTGGGTCCCTGAGATCTTGGGCACCAGTGACACAGTGAGTCTAACTGTCTTTTCTGTCTTTTCATCTGCAGGCAGAAGGAGAAGACAGCCTTAAAAAGATGCAGCTGATGGAGCTTGCAATTCTGAATGGCACCTACAGAGATGCCAACATCAAATCACGTAAGCACGTCATGATCTTGAGAGTCAGTGACTGCCTGCCTGTATTGGCAGGCTTTGTGTCCCCAAGCTGCTTAGGGGCAGAGGTGCAGTGGTAACTTTGTTCTCCTGGAAAGGGGTGTTAACTACTTCCCTCTCCGTGCCCTCCCCTCCTTTTTTTTCAAGCAATATGCATGGGTTGAAATCTTTACAAACACACAATTTAATCAGAATTCAACCCTTAAGCCAGATTTTTTATTTTACAATATTTTTTTCTTTAGTGTATATCAAAGACAGTGGACTCCTTTCCGATTTTATTCTTTAGAGATAAGTTGGAGAATACTACAAATGTTCAGGATACTGGGACTACATTTTTCTGTATTTTATTCCTTCCTTTCATCTTGCTTGCATGTATTGCCCCAATGTTATGTTTTTCCAATGATTCATCAGCTGATTTCACACGAGTTCACAGAGATCAGTGATGTAATGAGCCATTTTTTACTGTTTCTTACATCGATTTGGTGTGTGAATGCTTTTGCAAGCACTTGTATGCACAGTTTTAAATTTGGAAAATAATTCTGCACAACTCCTAAGAAAGCAGATACTTAATATATGTGATGTTTTTTTCTCTGACTTTAAATCTAAATTTTATTCCTGAAAATGTAGTTGCTAATACAGTTCCAAAGTACTTTTTTTTTTTTTTTTTTTTTTTTTTTTTTTTTTTTTTTTTTTTT